TTCTTCTTCTTCTTCTTCTTCTTCTTCTTCTTCTTCTTCTTCTTCTTCTTCTTCTTCTTCTTCTTCTTCTTCTTCTTCTTCTCTCTATCTCTCTGTGTCTCTCTTTGTGAATCTCTCTCTCTCATTACCAGGAATTCTTATTAGGGCCTTTACTCATTAAAATAATATACCTCAATCTCCTGTAAAATTTTCCTGCTTCTCTAAATTGAGTCATTTCTCATCATAGGGCAAAGCACAAAGGGGTCTGCTGATGACTTTCCTCTGGCACACATCTATACTTCTTTTTCTCCTGTCTATATCTTTTGAGAGACAGCATAGCATAGTGGATAGAGAGTTAGCCTTCAGTCAAAAAGGAGCTGTCTTCAAATATTGCCTCTAGCACATGTAGATGGTGTGAAACTGAGTAAGTAATTTAACTTCGGCTTGTGCTAGGCTATTCTCAAAGACTAGAAATGCAAACCTACATGGATAAAGGTAGTTTCCTTAATCCAATTAAATCATGATTTAGTCCCTATTCATTGTATCTTTTATGATTTCAGGAAAACAGCCTTCTTTTATATGATTAACAGTCACCATCAAACCTTAGTTCACATCATTATCCTGAGAACCAGTAAGAAACACCTCCAATCTGACTTGTTTTCAGATCTAAGTTTATTCAAGCTAATTTGGTTTCTCCCTCTTTTGTCAACTTTCAGTGTCCTTGATCTAGGAATATGATTTGTTTTTTGGTGAGGCAGTTGGGGTTTAGTGATTTGCCCAGGGTCACACAGCTAGTAAGTGTCAAGTATCTGAGGCCAGATTTGAACTCAGGTCCTCCTGACTCCAAGGCTGTAGCTCTATCCACTGCACCATCTAGCTGCCCCTACGAATATGATTTTAAAGAAAAAATGGAAAAGACTTTATATTTCATGGTTTGGGCAGCTACTTATAGTTGACTATTCCTTGCTACTGTATTTAAAAAATAATACCACCACTTCAGTCAAGTAGCATTTATTAGGCAGTGAGTAAGCACTGAAAACTATTATTGAAAATTCACTCTTTTCTGCTGCTGCTGCTACTAGTACTACTACTATTACAAACTGACAAAAATATAATGTATTATAATTTGCAAAATACTTTGCTTACATTATTTCTTTTAAGCCACACAACATTCCAATGAGGTGGATACTATAGCTATAATGATCTCTGTTATTTAGAAGAGAAGCCAAGGGTCTCAGAGGTCAGTTGAATTGCCCATAATCATATAGCTAGTGGAGCGAGTAAAATATTCTTCCCTTAGATTGCTAATCTGATTCTTTGTTGGGTGCAAATAATTTTCCATGCAGGACTTTAGATTTTTTTTTTTTTTGGTGAAGGGTGATGTTAATATGCTGAATAGGCAGTTGTGTGGAATGCTGTCCTGAAGTGCAGACAATGCTTTTCCTCTCAAACAGACAGGCAGTGTCAGTTCTAAAGGAACAGATCATTGTAACAAAACAAAACTGTCCCCACTGTGTTTTGTATAGCAGAATGTGGTCAAGGAATAGTGACTCAACTAAGGATCTAGAAGTCTACCCTATAGCAACATGTCAGAAGTTGTATTCATGACATTGCTTGCACCTGAATTTAGTGTTTAAAGGTAACATCTTAGGTGTTATCACTACTTACCTCACGATGACTTCCCCAATAATTGCCTGATTCCAGATTTTGAACAATGTTGAAATCCACATTCCTTTTTAGTAATCATAGAAAAATAAAACGGCCAACAGAATGAAGAGAAGATAATCCAGCAACTATTTTCTCCTCTGTTTTAGACAGAAAAACAAGAATGGTCAATATACTCACTTTGATTTGTTTTTTTTAATAGGAAGTTGAATTTAAATCTTGTTCTTTGAGTAATTCCAAGTAAGAAAGTAGTCTGAATTCTTCAGTTCTCTAAAATATCCAGTGCTTTCTGACAAACTCTGTCTCTCTTTGCTCTCACAAAAAAATATCCTTATGGAAACACCCAGGACAGCAGGGCTTTAGTCCTGCCATACAACTTCAAAGGGTGTTAGCTAATACCCTATCAAAGAGAGCGAGGCATCAAATCTGAAGTCATTATCACTTGAATCCAAGCAAATGTGTATTTTTTTTATTAGGTGGAAAATATTCTAATCAGCATGAAGTTTCTGAAGCTCTTGTTTATGATATGTCTAGTTTAAATACGATATATCTATGTCTAGAATGAATATGTGTTATTCAATAAGCAATAGCTATTCAATGTGTGGCACTGCATTTTTCAGCAGATATGGGGCTTTTATTCAGAAGACAAACAAACAGGTGTCTGGAGAGGCATATACAGAAGATGTTAATTAAACACCAGCATCATTATCTTTACAAAACAAATTAAATAAAGCTTAGGCAGGGTGTCCAAGGAGACTACCAGGAGCCTTTGAAATTATGGAAGCTGAAGATCAACAGTGTTCCAGTCTCTTGCAATATTTGTTTGTATCCTTTAACCACTTCTCTATTGAAGAACAAACAGTTCTCAAAAGAATAATTGCAAACAATGAACAACCAGATTTCACAGCAACTCAAAATCATTAATAATAAGATAAACACAAATCAAAACGTCCCTGAAATTTCACTTCATAGTCAAAAAATTGGTAAACATAATCAAAGCTGAGAATGGTCAATTTTGAAGGATTTATGGGAAGACAGGCACACTAATGAATGAGTGGTGGAGCTGTGAATGAGTACAGTCGTTTTGATAAGCAATTTGTAATTGTGTAAATAAAGTGACTAAATTGCCCATACTCTTTGACCTAGAGATTTCAATACTAGGCTTATACTCCCAAGAGGTCATTGATACAAAGAAAGTCTCCATATATAGCAACATAATTATAATAGGTCTTTTTGTGATAGTAAAGAATTGAAAACAAAGTAGATGTCCAATGGATAGACAATTCTAAATTAATTACACTTCATGAATCTATGAGAATATTACTCTGTGAGAAGAAATCACAAATAGGATGGATATAAAGAAGTATGGAAAGATTTATAGGAGCTAAGAAAGAGTGAAGTAAGGATATTGAAGAAAATAATATACATAATGAGTAGAATAATGGAAATGGAAAGAACAATGTCCATAAAATAATCAAACTGAATGTTTCCAAATTACAGAGAACAAGCAAGGCTACAAAGAACAGATGCAAGAAGACAATCCCATCTCCACTCTTTATTACAGAGATGGAAGGTCCACGGATATAGTATATTGTATATAGCTTCAGATTTTTTTTAATTTGTCAATTGATTTTGCTGATTTTTTTTCCTTTTTTTGTTAAATGTTATGTGGCCTGGTTTTGTTGAAGAGGTTGGGGGGTAATGAGAGAAATTCTAGTGATAAAAAAGGCATCAATAAAATTTTATTAAAATACAATAAATGGATAGGTGGTGCAGGAAATTCAACATGTCCTTGGGATGACCACCTAATGATAAAAAAAAAGCTAGATATAAAATGGGCTGGCATGAAATATTAATGACTTGATCAGTGGCAAGGTCTGTGTGCAATTAAAAAGGCAACATGAAAAGGTTCAACTGATCAGAGTATGTAGATTAGGAAAAATAAAATCAGTTAGGGAGTCAGGAACATAAAGGGAGGTAGTATGGAGTTTTTCTTTTATAGTTTGACATCTAGACTTCAGCAGCCTTTTCTTTTGGAGAAATGTAATCCACATTTCTCAGGATGAAAATGAAAGAGTTAGCATGAGAGCCATTGAAGTAATGAGCACAAACAACATTATATTCAAAGACACCTCTTCCTTTGGTGTAACTTGATCCATATGAAGATAGAGCTGCCATAAATTTTGTTTCCATGCACAAACTTGGAAAATGCTTCCTTTTCTCTCTTTCACATCAGCAAAGGCTTCTGAGAAATGTGTGGTTAGTATATATTTCATGGTGCATCACTAATGCCAAGAAGAACATGAGTATTCCCAGGTCAAAGAGGAACCATTTCAACTCTATTTTTATTTTATTTCATTGTTAAATTGAAATTTTAGCACCAAAAGAAGACATTTCCATATTCACAGGAGAACCCCAAAGGAGAATTGTATAAGAAACCATGAATCTGCATTTTATACCACTTGCTTCTTTTAAAAAAAGTATATAATAAATTCTACATTTTACTTTCAAAACTCTCCTGCTGGTCTGTTTTTCTTTCTGACCTTCCTTCCATTATTTTCTGTGTATTTTAAAAATGTTTCCATAGCCTGCTCTTTTTAAAAATCACCACTGCTAATCCTCATCTTAGGTTCATTGGATTTGGATCTGAGACAGGTTCTTAGACTGCTTCTAGTCTACCCTCTACCCACAATTTCAGACATAAACAAAGATAGACCCAAAGATGGGGAGTTACTTGCCCCAAGTAATATAGTAGTCACATATCAGGCCTGGGATCTACATCTGTCCTTTGTTTATTTATCTATTATGTTGTTTGAAAAAATTAGTAATTATACTGTTCAAATCCGACTTTATGTGATTAGAGATTGTTTGTACCCAGAATGTCATCCTGACCTCAGTAAATCTCCAGGAATGGTAGA